GAGGGGCCAGCCAGCCACGCGGCACCACGTGCATTGTGGCTGCCCCAGAGTAAGTGTGCGAGAGTGCTGCCATAGCTGGCTGGTGGCGCAGAGGCCCTCCTGTAAGGGGGACACGCGTCTCTGTTTCCCTTTCTTCGTGCTGCACAGGGAACATGTTCCTCGAGGACTGTGACCTTCCTGTGACTTGGGCTCAGGTCTCTAGACACTTTCCTGCTGCCCTTGGTGCTTTTCGAAGCTCTCCCCGCCCCCGCCTTTCCCCCGTAAGCCGAGTTTTGTTCACGCCAGATCTCGGCGTGGGGGCTGAGGCCCCGTTGAGTCCTTTGGGTGCTGTGGCTCCCGTGACAAGAGGCTGAAGTTCCAGCCCTTCTGTCCCCTAAAAGAGGGCAGCTTTGACCCCTGATCAGGAGCTCCCGAGACACCTGTCAGCTGGCTTTCAGGGCTTTCCAGGTTTTCTCTGGGCTGCATGCCGCAGCAGCCAGCTGCGCGCAGAGAGCACTGCCCTGTCAGCAGGGTTTCCGGTGTTGGCGGTCACCATTCGTGGTGCCGCCCTAGCAGTTCTGTCCAGAGTCCCGGCCCGTCACGCTCTCCTTCTGGATGGCCCAGATGTTGGCAACTGACCCTGCAGGAGACGGCCCTCCCCCATCTCCACAGGTAGAGGACAGATTGGCAGCAGGTTCCGGTAAGCGGAAGGGGAGGAGAGAAGATGGGGTCTGTAGTCTGACTGGCTGACGTGCTGACCTACATCCGGTGTCCATCTGTTTGTTAAGCCCCCGGACAGAAGCAGACAAGACGGCAGGTGGGCAGGCGTTAGCCAGTACGGAGGAAAGAAACCCCTGCCCGCCTGGCAGGACGGAAAGGTAAGGGAGTTTGGACATGGTGTCTGTCCACTCCATGGTTTGCATCCCCAAGTTGTCATAGATTCATAGATGCTAGGGTCGGAAGGGACCTCAATAGATCATCGAGTCCGACCCCCTGCATAAGCAGGAAAGAGCGCTGGGTCTAGA